ACTTTCTTGGGCTCCATAATCACTGCAGATGGAGACAGCAGCCCCGAAATTAAAAGACGCCTGCTTCTTGGGAGGAAAGCGATGAAAAACCTTGACAGCATCTTAAAAAGCAGAGACATCACCTTGCCAACAAAAGTTGGGATAGGCATGTAGACTGATTTTTTCCAGTCCTCTGGCCACTGCTAATCCCACCCAAATCTAACGCCTCTTCTCTCCTCCTCCTCCTCCTCCTCCTCTTTCTCTGCAGTTCCAAATGAGGCCCCTGAGATCTCCCAAGGGAGAGGAGGCGAGGAATCCCCTCCCAAAGAGCCAGAGGAAATCAAGCTGATGGAGAAGGGAGAGCCCAGCACCCTCTCAGGTCAGCGGGATGCCCCCTCCTCCCTCACCAACATCCACCCTCTGCACAGAGAAAGTTACGAATTGAGGAAATGGATAAATAATCTTCCTCTTCCAATTTACAGAGCCCTACCATGGCTCCCCTTCCCTCCTCCCCCATCCCTGCCACATTCATCCATTCTGAGGTGGGAGAGGCATGACATTATTCATGTTTCTCCAGATGTGCACAAGGGGATCTCTCTGGTTTTCCCAGCGTTTTCAGTTCCTCCCCATATAAATCCTAGCAGAGAAATCTGCATTTTCCTCCCACTGCATTCTTGAGAAGGGACAGGACATAATCCTTCTGATGAACATATTCGCGAAGGCTTTTACGGCCGGGATCTAATGGTTGTTGTGGGTTTTTCGGGCTTCTTGGCCGTGTTCTGAAGGTGGTTCTTCCTAACGTTTCACCAGTCTCTGTGGCCGGCATCTTCAGAGGACAGCAAACTCCACTCCCAACCCTACCCAGAGCAGAGTTTGCTGTCCTCTGAAGATGCCGGCCACAGAGACTGGAGAAACGTTAGGAAGAACCACTTTCAGAACACGGCCAAGAAGACCGAAAAACCCACAACAACCTTCTGATGAACGTTTCTTTTCCTGTCTTCTCTCGGCAGCCTGATCTGCGTGAGATCCTGCTTTCTGTCTCTGGACCACCTGGTCTCCTCGGGAGAGAATGGAAGGAGGAGACCTTCCCATGGGGTGCTTTGAATTTCCATCACTCCTCTTGGGCATCATTGAAGCGGAGCAGAGTGACTTTTTTTAAATAAACAAAGAAGACATTGAGAGGGAATATAAGAACGGGACACCCATGAACCCTCCACTTTGGATCTGTTGTCCTTTGTTTTCCTGCTGCTTTTTAGGGGAACCGTCTTTGTTTCTTTCAAGGATTTGGTATCTTTTTACGCTTCCAGTGACTGCCTTCAAACGGCGGCAGAGTCCTCTCGGGGACCTGAAAGAGAAGGAAGAATCCTCCCTAATTCTTCTCATTCTCCCTGGAAGGAGCGTCCACTTGGAACAGATGCACTCTGACCGCACCCAGTGGAAAGGACTACCTGGGACTTGGATAGGGATGGAGGGGGGATCAAATCTTAGAATGAGAGATCCCACCGTTGACCTTGAATCACATCTATAGAGAGAATTGCAGTTGGGCTGCACTCTGGGTGGAACAGGTGGGGGAAAGGGTTGGGCTTCAGCACAGGGACTTCCTTCAGGCAATTCCTTCTCCATCCTCCCCCTCCTTCCAGCCATGGGACTGAACAGCTGAACCTGGAATACTCAAGTCACTGCAGAAACATTCAGCATAGCGAGCAGAGGTTCAAGGGAACCCTAAATTTATTTTATTCACTGACTCCACATGATGCTGTCCTGATTTTCTTCTCACCAAAATGAAGAGGCGAACAAAAAAAAATAGTCTCATACCACTTTAAATACAAACACCATGAATTCTGACACAAGTGTTCATAACCGGTGCCAATGGTGAGCCAGCGAAGGAAATCTGGGAAGCCCTGCAAGACTGCAGAGGGCGCTGCCTGTGACCTACATATTTTCCCTGGAATTCTAAGAAAAATGGTGTTTGAAAAAGGAAATACTCCTTGCTCCCTCTAGTGGCCACTTTCAAGGAGTGCTGCACCCCCACCCGTGAATTCTGACACAAGTGTTCATAACCGGTGCCAATGGTGAGCCAGCGAAGGAAATCTGGGAAGCCCTGCAAGACTGCAGAGGGCGCTGCCTGTGACCTACATATTTTCCCTGGAATTCTAAGAAAAATGGTGTTTGAAAAAGGAAATACTCCTTGCTCCCTCTAGTGGCCACTTTCAAGGAGTGCTGCACCCCCACCCCGTTGAGGGCAAAATTGTCTCCAGATATAGTGGGGTCTCGACTTACGAACTTAATCTGTATTGGAAGGCGGTTCGTAGGTCGAAAAGTTTGTAGGTCGAATCTGCATTTCCCATAGGAATGCATTGAAAACCTTTTAATCCGTATCTGCTCTTTTCCGTCCATAGAAACTAATGGGACACTAATAGGAAGCTGTTATTCCACCTTCTGCCACTAGAGGGGGATATTTTTTCTTTTTTTCTTAGGTCAAGAAAAGTTCAGGAAAAGGAGGGGGAGGCAGGGAACAGTTTTAAAAGCACTTTTGAAATCTTTTTTTTTTCAACGAAGCCAATTTTAAAGCATGTTTTAAAGCATGTTGTGCTGATTTTTTCAGCACAAAGACACACAGGCAGGCTTTTTAGGTGCTGATTCTCCGTTTCAAAACGGTGTGGCAGAAAGGAGGGTTGGGGTGTTTCAAGAAAAGAAAGATACATTGTTAGCAGATTCAGGTATGCATCATGGATTCTGGGCAGAGTCTTTGCAAACTTTGAATTATTTATCGAACAGAATTTGGTTGTCTGCAATAGACCAGACTCCTTATTACATGCTATATGGAAAAGAGCCTTCACTGAAACATTTGAGAGTACAGTGGTGCCTCGCTTAACGAGCACACTGTTTAACGACGAATCTGCATAGCGATGCGTTTTTTGCGATCGCTAATGCGATTGCATTGCGATGTTTTGGATAGGGAAAACATCGCATTGCGATGATCGGTAAGCGTTTCACTTACCGATCTTCGCATTGTGATGTTAGGGAAACAGCTGATTGGCAGTTCCAAAAAAGCCACCTGGTGCAGAAAATGGCCGCCCGCAGCATTTTTGCACCCTGCCCTCACTTACCAAGGCAGCGAAAATGGTGGCCGGATGGGGACTCTTCGCTTAGCAGTGAGTTCCCCCCATAGGAACACATTAAACATGTTTGTGCTTCCTGTTCTTTCCTAAGGGAGGACGACACTCTGGCAAGGGCTTCTACCCCCTCACCTCGCGTCTCACAACAGGATGTCTATGACTAAAAGCTTATCCTCAGTTATACAATTTTGGGCTGCATGAGCCTCAGTTTGAGGGATCGTCATGGCATTTGTCTTAGCTGTCAACTGAGGATATATGTCAACTTCCACTGTAACATTTTGTGTTTTATATTGGAAATAATCAAATAATTTTATTGTCATTGTAAGTATATGCATAGTATACCCATACAACAAATTCACACAGACACCCAGAGACCAGACCCACATGCACACACATAAAAAATCCCCAAACACTCCCCACCCACTAAAAATCCCCCACTAAGAATACAAATATTTACAATACATGCTAAGTAACCCCTTCATGGATTGTTGCCTTGTCGTGGCGAAGGGGCTTGAGCAACTCAGAGAAGCTATGGCTATGCCGTGCAGGGACACCCAAGACGGACAGTGGAGAGTTCCGACTAAACGTAATCCACCTGGAGAGATTAGGAAAAACCACTGGGCCACTCAGGTATAATCTAAACCAAATCCCTTATGAATACACAGTGGAAGTAAAGAACAGATTTAAGGAACTAGATTTGGTGGACAGAGTGCCTGAAGAACTTTGGATAGAGGCTCGTAACATTGTCCAGGAGGCAGCAACAAAAACCATCCCAAAGAAAAGGAAATGCAAGAAAGCAAAGTGGCTCTCTAATGAGGCCTTAGAAATAGCAGAGAGGAGAAGGGAAGCAAAATGCAAGGGAGATAGGGAAAGTTACAGAAACTTGAATGCAGACTTCCAAAGAATAGCAAGGAGAGACAAGAGGGCCTTCTTAAATGAACAATGCAAAGAAATAGAGGAAGATAACAGAAA